GTAGCGCTATAGCGGCTATAGAGTATTATAATCTTAAATCGCGATAAATATAAAAACGACTTCGGGGATAAGCTTCTAGAAGTACTCGAATACTTATTTATATATATCTTATTACGACTTAAGAATAATCGCTATATAACTATATTAATTATCTAAATAATATCGAGTATTTACTTCAACTAAATTATATTTAAAATACTACTAAGTATATTCTTAAAATTACTTCGAATTTATATTATTCTCTTAAATTACTTAGTAAAGATTAGACTATATAATTTATAAAATAATATTCTAAATATTATAAATAAAAGTAAAAATCTCTTAATATCGAGCGTAAGAATATATATAATATTAAGAGTATACGCGTAGCGTATAAGAAATTTTAATAAAGCTATAAAGAGAAGGGTATATAATATTAAAATATTTAAAATATAAATAAGACTAGCTTTCGAATTAACTATAGAATCGTCTATTATATTATTATTTTAAATAAAAATAAGTCTCTATAATTCGTAGATTCAGATAATTATAATTATATTACGTTTATAAAATATATTAGCGTCGTAGATTAAAGTATATCTTTATTCGTAATTTTAAAAAATACTTATATTCTATATAAATAAAATAAAAATAACTTATCTTCGAATACTATATTAGTTATTTCATCTATTAAATATTTAAATAATCGACTAACATACGACTAGCTACTATATTTTAATATATTTTCTTATTATTATTAAGTAGAAGAATAAAGAATCTTAATTCTAAACGACTTCGAATTCTACTATATCTACGAATTTCATATATTTACTTAATAATTAAAGATCGACTTATTTATACTTCTCTCGTATTCTATATATATTATATAGCTATTAGATATAAAATACTTTTAATTATTTAAATATTATTATACGAAGGCTATAGATTCGGCTATACGTCTTAAAAATAGCGATTTTAATAAACTCGATTTTCTTATAGTATTTAATTAGATAAAAATCTAAACCTTTACACCTAGTATTATATATTTAATCTTTTAAAAGATTAGTTTTATACTCTATAACTTTAAAGTAATACTCGAAAAAATTAGAAATCTAATACTTCGCGCTATAACTTTAAATAAATCTATATCTCTTATTTTTATTAGAATTCTCTATAAAGTCGAAGACGTTATTAAATATAATTAATAATTTAAAATACTACTTACTACTTAGACTTTTATTATTCTAAAGAGTATATAATAGTTATTAGCTCGATTTATAAAAGAATCTATTACTAATAGCTACTTAAGATAAATTATTAAATAAGATATTAAGATTATTTATAAAGAGGCCGTAGTTAAGCGAATATATAAGATACTTTTAAAAACGATTATCTAGAAGAGAGAATAAATATTAGTAGATTAAATATATAAATTTCTAATTATAATAAAAGAAATAATTATAGAAAAGGCGGAGAAGGCTTTAAAGCGAGCTACTCGAATTAAGGAAATTTAATAAAAAAAGATCGATAAGATTATTAAGGCTTATATTCGAAAGTTAAATTATAATCTATAAAAGCTAATATATATACATTAAAATGTATTTATTAAGATTCGAGTTATAGGTCGAGATCTATATAGAATTAGAAAGAAATAATAGATTTTCGCGTCTTTGAGACTAGTACGTTTTTGAGTTGAGGACTACTATAAGCGGAGCGAATAGTCGGACTACGATTAGGCTAGTGTACCACGACTTCTAGGACCCGCGTGCCGGGGTCTCGGCGTTTATCGGATAGGGCGTGGCTTCCTTGCAGGCTTTTACAGCTAGTCCATATGTAGCATAGCGGCTTGGCCTGGTGGGATATATCCTGCAGCAGCCTCCCTGCTTCATAGAATAAAAAACCCCTCCTACCCACCAGAACTCCTCTTCTTCAAATCTCTATCCCTTCCATTTTCTTGTGTGCGGATAGCATACGCTAGGCAGCTCGTATTTCGCACCGCCGTAGGGGTTCGTGGGGTTCTGATATGCCACTTGATCCGAGTAACAATAATAGCTACAGTAATTAAAAGAGGTAATAAAGAAGATTGAGAGACTTGACTGCGCTAAAATACGGATCCCCGAGGTCACATCCTGTCTGAAAAGTCGAGATAACCATGGCAACCAGCCACGACGCAGGCGTTCAAGGAACGTATCGAGATCCAGCAGCAGTCGTTTCGGACGCAATCCATGATAGCAAAAAGCACCTGCTTTTAGCCGCCAGTGGCTCTGTTGCCACCATCAAACTCCCCCTGATCATATCCTCGTTTGAAACCCACCCGAATCTCTCGATTCGAGTCATCCTCACCAAAGCGGCGACGAAATTCCTTGCCGGTCAGTCTCCCGAGCAGCCCACCGTTCCTTCCCTGGCCTTGCTCCCCAACGTGGATGCCGTGTATCTCGACGAAGACGAGTGGATCGACCCGTGGACACGGCATTCGAAGATCTTACATATCGAGCTCCGCCGTTGGGCTCACCTCCTCGCGATCGTCCCCATGTCCGCGAATCTTTTGGCAAAGGTCACAGGGGGTCTCTGCGACGACCTCCTGACCACTGTGATCCGCGCTTGGGACGTAACGCGTGCAATTATTGCGGCGCCGGCGATGAACCAGATGATGTGGCATAATCCCATCACGGCAAAGCAATTAGCGATACTGGCTGAGGAATGGGACTGGTTTGAAATATTATCGCCACAGGTAAAACAGTTGGCATGTGGTGACGTTGGCCAGGGAGCCATGTGCGATTGGCACGAGATTGTCGAAGTGATTGAGGAACGACTAGCAAGCACTTAGTTCGTAATCTGACAAGGCGGCAGCTGCACAGTGGAGAATTGTCCGAGGAGAGGGTTTTCAGGCGAGGGGAGGATCATTGCCATTCAACTACGGTCCCAATCTACGCTGGAGGTTGCAGTAATACGCTTCAGCCCTATCTCATCTTCCTTCAGCCTGCCTGTGACATTTCATTTCGCAGGACATAACCACACCTTCAAATGAGATGATAACAGGCGGCCTTGCCTTGGCTCTGATTTACAACCACCGAGACCTCGAAGAATGAACCTATAGTAATGTAAATCATGTATATTCTACATGGGTGGTTGCTCCAGGGCGTTTCTGCGAACACCCCTCTCACGAAGCGAATAGTCGGACTACGATTACACACACACATTCAGGCACACTATGCGGGCCTTCACCCTCGGTGGCGGCGCGAAGGTTGGGCAAATTAAGAGCGGAACAGCTGCAGATCAGCGGTCAAAGACAGATTCAAAACCATTCTTCAATCTACCTGAACCAATCGAGTCTCTCAAGGCCCAGAACCCCCAACAGGCACCAAGTCGTAGGTGCAGTAGCGCGGCCTCGATCTACCGCTTGGGGCGTTATCGTTGGAGCAGCCGAGCAATTACGGTTCCCCCTGCATAGGTATGCATATGCATGACAATGCGACAGCGAACAAAAAGTGCAACAGAGACCGAGGGGAAGGCTCAATTTGAGTTGAATTAGGAGTCGTTCATGATTCTCATTGCACCTGCGGACACAACGTCGATGATGCAGCGGCTTCTTATTCTCTAGAAATTCGGCGGTTCGACATATACCTCGCTTTTGGTGAGGGACTCCATGGCGCCGCGCTCCGGTTACCCTTATCAGCTCAATAGCCGTGAATCGGCACCGGCTCATTTGTGAGCCAAATGCTCAAGATTGAAATATCCAGACATGAAATCAAGCACCATTGGATAAGATTACCAACAGCCCCAATCACTATTCTCACGTGAGCTCAGTGAGAGCATCGGAACGAGCACTAGACCAGGAGTTGAGTATGTACCCTGGATATCTTGCAATTTGCGAGCAGGTGGTTGGAGAAAGGAATACGGATACGTCTTCCTCTGCGCTTTCCCCACCTTTGTCCCTCGTTGTCCAAAGTATTTCGATATAGGTAGAGGTAATTATTTTCATCCTCTGCCGTGTCTTTCCCTTCCTGATTCCTCTACTTTCTCCATCGCCAATACCTCTTCACCCTCTCCCCCCCCCAACATCACTCTCTTGCCAACCCGGGAACAAGCGGCAACGTGTGAGGGTCGTGGTCATGCATGGTCATGCATATAAATGGATATCGAGTTTTGCTTAGGGACGGAGGCCCACGAACCTTGCAAGCATGAGTAGCAAAGGTCAGATCTTAGCTCAGAGGTATTTGCCAACATCTTTATATACAGATCTCGGAAGCGTGTTTGCTTCCACAATCGCCTTGAGCTTTTTCAATGGCGGCAACCAGTAGCCAGCTCTACACTAAGCCGCAGCCGCCTTTCCATACTGGTAAGGACCCTCCTCATCGGCACTAGATTCTGAGGGTAATGGCAGTTGGGATCGAAATGTTATTGCTTTGACAACTATCGATGCGCTTGCAACAGCCTGTATAGCAGCCTCCGAGACTCGGCGTCGCTCACTCCGCAGAGCTACCTTGCATAGTCCCTACGCCTCAAATTATAAACATGCGGTTACGCATTCAGAGATGACAGGAAGGGAGAAATGGTCACCTCTTAGAAAACCATTTTCCACCGTTCATGTGCGATCCAAGGTGAAGATAATTGGGGTTATCTGCGAGGAAGATGTTACAATACCAGCCCCTTCGGCTATCGCATACATGTCGCGTATTACCAGGGCTGGTAATTACCAGCCACCTGTTTTATGTATATAAATATCCGTACATCCCATGAATCAATGATCAGTCTTTCAGTCACAATCGTTCTTTCTAACATGTCTGGTATCCTACTTTCAACAGAAGGAACCACACTCTGGGCTCATAATGATTTGCAGGACTTTGGGGATTTTCATCATTCAAACAGGCCGTATGCACATGGAAAGAGCAGATAGGGGCGCACACATCGGGGACTGAGCCCAGGTTTTGGGACGTTAGTAAGGCGTTTGGTCTGGCTTGGCTTCGTTTACAACATTTAACCTCGCACGAAATTGGTTCGGCAGACAGCACACACCCTTCTCATGACCTACTCAAGCCACCTCGCCGCCCTCCTCGTCCAAAATGAACACTAGGGGGCACAAATTTGAGGGCGGACATCGTCGACACGAGTTCATCGACGTCCGCTGGAAGAGAAGGCGAATGACCTAGTCTTCCACTGCTTCCTTTGCTAGTCTCTGCCGCTGAAGATTCGAGTGTATTTGCAGAGTCAGGATTGTGACCTTGAAAGGCCTCGGTACTGTTAGTACGTTGCTCGCGGTGGAAAGCTCTGGACGCAGCAGAGCTATGCTTTCTTGGCCGGGAACGCAGCATGGAGCTACGCTTGTCAATGCCTGTATTAACGATTTGGAAATCATAATTCTGCGCGATTGTTAGACTGAGCGAGCATTCAAAAGGCCACGCCAGGGTCCGTGCTTACCTTGGGGAAGATATGTTTATCTGTGAGATGCATCCGTCGTTTTTGCGGAGTCGAGCAAATTTTGTCGCAGTCTTCAACGAAACATTGGTACTGTTGCTCGCTGTCAGCACCGACTTGATCTTTCCCAGATCTTTCCCAGAGCAATGATCTGCCCAGACGTACCGTCTTCTCTTCGTTTGCTCTCCGTGCTTCGGTCAAAGGATCATGATTCTCGCTAATGTGTAGCCCTAGGAAGTGCTCTGTAGGGAAGTTCTTCCGGCATTCAGAACATCGATGTGCGTGCTCTCTAGCGTAATGGAGCTCGAATTCCTCGAAGGTAGAGAATGATATCGTATCCTGGTGGGGTGGAAGGGAGCATTTCATAACTCTTCGTGTAGAACGCTCGTCCGATGTCTGTATGTACTTTGAAGGGTGCACTGGTGCATCTGTTGAGGCTGGAGACGAAGGATCTGGTGTTGGAGAAAGTGAAAAGGTCGTCGTCGGCGAGGGGGAATCTTCTCGTGAGCGTTTAGGCATAGCTTGTGTGAATGTAGCGGTGAGGAGGTTACTCTGGTTACTTCTTGCCCAACATACTATCCCTCATGATGCAACATCAGTCCCTCAAAGAGACTTCCACAAGTGTTGGAAGAGTAGTGCGGTGTACTCAAGAACGATAATTACATGAGAGTAACAAGAGATTGGCTTTCCGGCTCCTCAAGAAAACAAGACTCGGACATAAGATATGGACTTAAGGACTCCGATCGCGAACATCACCTACACATATGAATCCCGCGCATGACTTCCTAGCAAGCAGACTCTTTCAAAGTCTTTGCAATTGTGCCTTCTAGTCAACTTGCTCAATGGACTGTTCGAGTACAGCCCAACCGTTGGAATCGCGTTACTATCTCTAACGGCGCGGCTGACCGTGGGGTCTTGATGAAGAGTCGGAGCTGCTCCGTTCGCCATGGCAAACACAAATGAGGAGAGATGGAGGTACTTCTGGTCTCCTGTTTTGCTATTGAGATGGAAGCTCAAAACGCACAGGCTGGCCCACCGAGCAGAGAGAGACCTGTCGACCTACCTGGGCAGGGAAGACTCCACATTTCCGAACATTGCCCATTTCCTGGCTCAGTACATCTTTCATACACCCTAAGAAAGGCACATCTGACTGTTGAAGATACCGCACGGCATGTGAAAACGTTATATTGCAAGATTTTGAATTTGCCATCGGCAAGAGTGCTGAGAATAGGCTGTGGGATGCTCATGGCAAAATCAACAATCGATTTCGCAAGGAACTGAAGCACGTTTGTCTCTCATTTTCCGCGAGTTACCAATCGCTCTCGACGCTTATGCCGTTGGTAGTTCCGAGAGACTGCGGGAAAGAGAAAAGCGGTCGAAGAACGCAAGCTCGTCAAACACTTTCTTGACTTCATCAAGTCTGGTCAGCGTTTCTATCGTGGTTACATACAGAGATTAGCATCGCGATTCGGTGGTCTCCGAGAGCTGGATGCTGTTGCTAACAGATTGACCCTAAGCAGTAAGATTGTCAGGCGAAAGCTGAACAAGAGACCCACATGTTGACTGTGTCTTTATAGCTCTGTCGGCTGATGAGCCAACACAGGTCTCCGGCACCTTGGCCCATTCCATCCTCGTATCCTGCCATCAGACGCTCGTCCGTCTGGGCGACCTTTCGAGATGGCGTGAGACACAGTCTGTAACAAAGAATCGCAATTGGGGCCCAGCTATAGGATATTATAATCTCGCTGGTCTGATACACCCTATGTCAGGAGTTTCCCACAACCAACTGGCAGTCATTGCACTGGTTGACGTCAATCACTTGTCGGCTACTTATCATATCTATCGCGCATTGGCTGTCGAGGAGCCCTATCCTATGGGAAAAGACAACCTGGAGGTTGAATTCAAGAAGATTGAAGAAGCTTGGAGTAAGGGGGAGTTGATCATGACTGATCCAGTCAAAAACAGCCAAGAACCGGGAAAAGCGCTGGTGGGATGGTTCATGCGCCTACATGCTCGATGTTATAAAGGCCTCGACTTTCCAGAGCATGAAGAGCTTGAGAGTGAGGTGCTGAGCCAGCTCGCGGTCGACTTGAAAGAACGGTCGTTCGAAGGTACCTTGAGCAAATTTGTTTTGATCAACATAGCTGCCGAGTTCTTTGCAGGAGTACGACTACAAGGTAAGCTATCAGCTTCATGTTTGTACTATGCTCAGACATGCTGAGCCATTCTCTTAGAATGTGGGGGTTCTGCGGAGGCATTACGGTCGTTCTTCTTCCTTCAACGCCTGAACGTAAGAACGTTTTTCGCCCTCCTCCAAGTACTTTTACCAGAATTGGAACGCTCCGTCAGCGAACATGTCCAAAGCGACGGCGCAGCACCCAGTTCTGGGTCCGCCAAAATTACCGCCGTTACGCGCCGTGTGTTACCAGCTCTGAGACAGTACAGTTCCTGGCTTCTTTCTAACGCCGAAATCCTGGCAGCTCAGGTGGGCGACAATGTATTGAACGTCCAGGTTAGAGAATTGTGGAAGATCTACGCAACCACTTTGACCCTTCTAACATCAACTTTCTTTGTTTCCGAGTTGCCTCAAATTGAATACCTCCTCGATGAAGACGAAGATACTGTGGGGTTTAAGCCGTTAGACAATGAGAATACAAAGCGAAGATACTATAAGGAGGTTAATCTGGTTTTTCAAAAGCCCAGGTACCATGATCGAGGCATTCAGCGTCATCATCCTAATGTGGAGATGCTAGGGAGAATTCGAGACCTGTTGACCGATGGCATGATTCAGCACTTAGATGACGTAGGTTCTTTCTGTTCTATGTCTGGTGAGGAAGCTCATTGGAAAACAGAAAGTCCCGATCAAGCTTGTGGATGTGGAGGGTAGCACGACATTCATCTACGTTGAAGAAGGCATGCGGGAAGAAGAAGGCTACCAAGCGCCGTTGTCATCAACGGGTATCGAGCTCGAGGAAGTCACTCATGTTGATGAGACGACGCTACCTGAGAATCATGCACCAATTTCGATCAGTGAAGGAGCCTCTCAGGCAGCGTCCATTTCCGTGAATATGGATCCGGCTTCGAAGCGCATGGTTGATGATCTTGTTGACTCTGAAACGACCGACGATGGTGACGATTCTGGATTCATCGACCTTTCTATGAAAGAGAATTCACATGGCTTCGCAAACCCAGAATATGGCCCTTCAACAGCTCGAGATGTTGGCGATGAGACTAGCTATGGCCTTATTGGTGATTCCACGGCACGAGAGCATTTCGGCGACCTTCAGGACCCGGTTCCCGATTCCCCTAGGCCCGTACTCCCAAGTATTACCAATTCTCCCTTTGCGCTTCAGCCGGGCGAACGAACGCCTGGGTCTCGACCCTCGACCGCGAAGCGCAAGACACCAAGTCATTCTCAACAAAATTCGCAGACCAGGTTTCCTCTTCAGCGGCAGCCAATCGGATTCCCTGCGGACTCGAGTCCTAGCAATCCTAGTACTATGCCAGATCCCACCCCTGGTTCGCACGCGAACGAATTCTACCGGGACCAGCCTCCTCCGAAAACCACGTTTCCGTCGGTCCAGAACTACACAAGGGGTCCCAGGACCTTCACGACTTTTGGAAACAACCCTCTCCAAGCGGATGAGCCCAATTTTCTGAGTTTGGAAGTCTTTGAAGGAAGCACTTGGGGAGGAGGTAGCGATCAGAGCGGTAGAAAGGCTACTAACGTTATGACACCTCCAAATGGGCAAGGTGCCGGTTGAAAGCTAACATTGGTACGCTAAGGTCATTTTCCGACTCCGGAGTCTCAAATCATCAAAAATATGCGTCCTGGACTGATAGTGCAAGAACATCTGCTCTCGTCTATCTACGTGCTATGCTATGTGCTACGCCATTGCATGCCGTGCACTGATATATGGAGGATGAAGTCCATTTCGGTCATATCACGTGGTCGTCATTCCGTCGTACGCCATGAGAATTCAAGCGCTTTTAGTTGTTGAAACCCGAACGCCTCTGCTGTGCTCGGCTCAATTCACGGAGAGAAAGTCGTTTTTCGACGTCGGCTGATAGCTTTGCTTGGGGAAGGGATATCTTTGGAGGAAGGAACTGTGTCAGCTCGAGAGCGCAAGGTGTCCAAGTTGTCATTAAGGAGCAAAGGGGACAAATAATGAGTTTGAGTTTGAATTGATGTTGCTCGATGTCGCTTAATGTCTTTGCGATGATTGACAGGATGATGAACTGTGTCTGCGAGGAGGAAATGAACGTACTGTGGTCCCAGCTCCTTAATGCTCAGACTCGCAAGCCAATGTCCCATGTCAATCGATTCATCGAGTGATTTTCCCTCGACGACACCTGCGACAAATCCGCCAGCAAAGGCATCACTTATTCCTTAAATCAGCATGGTACTCCCCAAAAAGACGTATCAACAGCACTCACCCTGCACCATTAGTATCGCAGATATCCTCCTTCTTGACCTCCTTAATTCCAAACTCCTTAATCTCTTTCTCCCCCTGCACCGCCACAACCGTACTCTCGGTCCCCTGCGTAAAGATCACTGTCCTCTTACGCCCCTTGTTCTCCTTCGGCAAATCCGCTACCAACTGCGCGATCTCTTTCACATCTTTCGTCTCATGCCCCTGTGACTCTGCCCAGCTCCTCGCTTCGGTCTCATTTCCAATTATGTAATCCCAATACTTGCTCGTTTCAGCCAACTGATCCTTGAAAAACAGCGGGATGAAGGGAGCGGACAAGCTCATGATGAAAACCTTATCCTCCTTGGCTGCTTCCTCCGCCAGTGCCATGATCGCGGGCACGCAGACGGTCAAGTGGTATCCGCCGACAAAGTAGACCTTCGCCTGCTGCGCCAGCTTCCAAACCTCAGGCGATTGGAGATGGGAGATCTTATACTCGTTCGCGGCAGCCAAATGCGTGCACATGGAACGGTCATGGCCGGTGATGATGACCCCGCAGCGGCCGGTCGGTTGGTCGGGAGAGACGAGATATTCGGAGCGGACGCCGGCTTCTTCGTTCTTGGAGCGCAGGGTCGTGGCGTATTTGTCGGAGCCGACGCAGCCGATGTAGAGGGTGGAGTGCGGGGGGAGGATGTACTGCGGGTACGTAGGGGGTCAATGTCGCTGTGCGGTGTGCGTTGGGAGATGGTGGGGGGGGATGGAAAGAGGGAGGAGTACTTGTGCACCACGGGTAGTGTTCTGCGCAGCACCGCCAGCTATGAGCTTTGCGTCGTGGTTCTGGAGCAGGTCTTCGTAGAGGCCCATGTGCTTTTCTTCGGCGAGTATGGCGTCATTGGGCTTGAGACCGTATTTGGAGAGCATTGCTTCATCGCTAGGTAGATATGTTCAATATCTTGCGAGCGGTGAGACGGCGTGTTGGAGCTTACCCTTGGCCTTGGATATCTGGACAGGCAGCTCCTTCAGCCTTTGACTTGGGTTATGGGATGGGGTTTGGGGGCACTCACCGAGTAACGGATTCTCTAGGCATAGCAGAGCGTATTGTTGGGGGGATGCCATGATGTCGATTTGATGGATTATAATGAGCGATTGTTTGAAAGTTGCAGAGTTGTTGGCGACAGCTGAGAAAAAGACGCCTCGACGCGAACGCTCGGAGATACTCGTAGAGACGATGTGTTTGGGACTAGCGTTAGGGCAATTCCTTTACTGTCAACCGGGGATTTCAGCTTCAACGATGTGCTCGTCAGTCACTGCGCAGTGGGATCGGTCCCTGAAACCGAGCATGGCATAAGTTTTCTGATCATTCGTTCCGCAGCTGGGGGTATAAATTCTATCGAAGTAACACTGACGCCCCTAAATGCAGTCTGATACAGCTTATGCAGCCCATCTTCAAGCCTTCTGCGGCTTGACTCTTGCCGGGCCTAGTCCTTTTCGTACTTCATCAAGCTGTTCCATGCCACTCTGATACCCACCCTTCTTGACCCTCTTCTTCCCGCTCATGGAATAGCCACCCAGGAAGTCATCCATGATGCTGTCGAAATCTGACCTCTGAACCAGAGATGGTGCTTGACTAGAAGCCATTGAACTCCCCGTCATGATGGATGCTCCACCATCGTCCATGTCCATTCCGTCCTCGGCGTATGCTTCTTCGATCTTGTCGAAACGTGCGTCGAGCAGAGTCTGGCCTTCTGTTCGAAAAATGGAAGAGCTTGTCATTGAATAACCAGTGCTAGAAGTCATTGCCCCTTTCCTTTTCTTTCGTCGACCGCCAGTCATTGAGGTTCCCGTCATGATCGAGGACTGCAGTTCAGCATTGGAGGGTTGCAGCTGCGCCTTTTTGGCAGCTTTGTCAGCTTGCTTGAATTTACTGAATTCCTTCATCCAGTCGCCATCACCATGGTCAGGTCCATCTTCCATCATCGTATCTGTACTTTGCGGGACGGGTGGTGGAGGCATGTCTCCGGTCTCGTACTCTTTGCTCGGCTTCTCCGTTTCATCTGTCTCCCAACCAGCTTCATCGCCTGCGTCCTCGAAGCCGGCCTCCTCAAATTCCTCCAAGCTGACTTCTCTGCCGTCCTTCGCTATCTCTCCGAAGAAATCTTCCTCATCATCAACGTACGCCTCGTCTTCCAAAGCTTCCAGTACCTCCCGTAACCGGGGATCCATGTCTGGCTGGAAGCCGGCCAACGCATCTGGCACGTCCTGCTGATCCTGGTATGTGCTCCTCCTCAAGTCCTTGGACGGCAGCAACTCATCATCCAAAAGCTGGGATCCTCCACTCTGACTGGCTACGCTTTCGCTCCGTTCTTCCTGTAAAGATGTCTCTCTCAGTGCATCCTCCAAACTCATTTTCCCCTTCCCTCTCCCATCCTTTTTTTTGGTTGCAGCCTCGACAAAGTAACTTTCTCCATTACCGCTTCCAGCATTGAGATCTCGTATATGTTGCATATAATCATATTCGGTATCGTCATAAAAAATCCCATGCTCTGCAGCCTCTCCTTCATTGTCTCTAACGCCTGAAAGTATACTGCTTTCGGTTGGGCCGAAAAGCTCTGCTTCTAGGTCATTGCGGTTTTTGATCTTATGGGCCTGTGAAGGAGCAAGCTCTTGGAAGAGCATGGAGCTGGAAGAAGCATCGTGGATCTTCGGGTCATTTTGAGGCCGGTTCACAAGTTGAAATGTTGTGGAGGAATTTTTGTCGCTTTACCGAAGTCAGCATTATAGTATCAAGGAATTAATAAGATATCGGACTCACATCCACCGTTTTCGCGGCATGTTGGAAACTGCCGCTACTCACGCAGAATTTTCGATAAGCAAAATGTTCTGTCGGTGGCCTCGAATCGGTCACCAAAATTTGGCGAGAAGTGACGTTGGGCTTGGCAAAACAAGCCAAGAGAAGCGTAAAGCGGCATTTCCCCTAGGCCGTACGAGTACTCGTACAAACCTGCACAGCTTGGCACCCCCAAGATATAGGCGATGTTACCCCCACTCATTCAGCCTCGCGCGGCCGTGGCCGCTTTAGCGATTGAGCTAGTTGAGCAGGGGTGGGGATCATTTGAGTCGCCGGCCTTAATTCAGGCGATCCAGAAATGATCAAGGAGAGAGGATTAAAGAGGGGCTATATGCCGCTCTCCCTCACTCCTTGTGCTACAATTACTCTAAACTCATCTCCTCGCTCTACAGGATCATAGTTCGACAGATCTCATCTAAAGAGATATTTATGAGAGCAAAGGCCAACGGTTATATGTATAAAGCTCATCATGAAGAGGATAGCAAAAGCAACGATAGCACCTACGTGCCGAAAACCATCCCATCTCCAAGAAAATACCTTTGATGGCCCTCACTCGTCTACCCACCGAGCTCCTGGAAATCATCATCACGCATGTCTTGCCCGAGGGCTTCGAGAGCGTGGCAGTGACCTGCAGGAAAATCTACGCCTTATGCATCCCAGTTATTAGACGCCACAACGCCCTCCGCTCACGCTTCCATCACTTTACCTACCATGAGAACCCCAACCCGTTTCCCACCATCGCAACAGCGGCCGATCTGATCAGACGCATCGCTGTCGAGCCTGTCGTGGCATGTTACGTTCGATACGCAGACTCCAAGCGTGACAGCCCACGCAGCTATATTATACCCCGTGGGTTTGTAGCAGATGCCGATTGTCGTGACGATGTCATTAGACTTTTTGCGAATTGCCCTTATCTGGAGCAGGCTGGTCTCGACTGGAAGGAATACCTTGACAAGATCGAAGAGGAGCTTAACCCCGATAAACTCCCCCGCTACTCACAACACGCTGCTGCTTTCCTTTTGACACTCCTGCCAAATGTCGAGAGGCTCATTCTACCACAGTATTGGAAGCCGCTCGACGCAACCAATAAGCTTATCAATGCCTTTGTCCACAAGACCAAGCAGGTCCATTCCCTCTGCGACAGGCCTAGCCTAGCCCAGATCACCAGATTCGAGCCATATGTCTCGTTAGTACCCCAAGATCGGTTTGATTTGGGTTTGGCAAGCCCCTTTCTGGCCCTGCCGCGTATACGGTCTTTCCGCGGCCCCAGCTGCGTAATCATGGACGACAATCACAAAAGCATCGTACCTAAAGATCCGAATTACGGCTTCGGAGAGACGCTTGAATCGGTTTCACTCGTGGCCTGTTGTGTGGATGAAGCGGGTATCGCCGACTTTCTCAAAGACACCAAACGCCTTAAATCGCTTAGGTACTTACACTCGACAAAGTATAATGTTAGCCCTCAGTGCTGGGATATCTGCAGGTTTGTAGCGGCAATTGAGCGTCAGGTGGGGAGTCACCTGGTGGAGCTTTCTGTTTCCATTGGGAAACCATTCGGCTCGATCGCGCCTGGCAAAGCATCTATGCGCGGCTTCCCATGCCTCCGACAGCTCGAAGTCCCTCTCGAAATTGTGATGTGTAAGATTACTGCCGCTGCATGCCGGTATTCTACGCCAAATGACTCTCTCGTCGGAGGCTCATCGGACTACAAATTGAACTGTGTTGCGCTGTTCGTTGGCGACCTTGTACCTGCCTCAGTCTCTGTTCTATCGTTGATCTCACATGGGGCTGACCATCATGACAAGGCTCTCGACGTAATGTTTCGGGACTTCGCCGCCAGGAAGGAAATCACATTGCCTGCTCTCACGGACATCCATCTAATCTGCCCGAATATTGCGGACGACTTTGCTACATTCTCTTACAAGCTTAGCTGTCTAGTCACATTAACTTCGCGAGCTTCCTCCATAATCTACTCAGCAGGTAGGTCGGTGACTGCGCAACTTCCAGAGAATTGATCCGTAGCCATCTTGAGCAGAAAGCGCCAAGACAATGCAGGAAAGGCCTGAAAATGAAGGGCAATTGCCAGCCTCGACAGCGGCAACAGAAGAGACGGCGGAAAAGAAGTCAGTCTATTCGATACCCGAGCAGCCTAGTGGACATGGCATGTCCAAAACTCAAACGACCCTTCTAGTCTTCGCTCTCTGCGTGAGTAGATTCGATTCGATTCACATTGAACTGACGTCACGTAACATCCCCCACCTTCACCCTCCTTACATTGCAAAGCTGTACACAGATATATAACACAGTGCTCCACCTTCCTCGCCGCCCTAGATATAACCATCGTCACCACCGCCCTCCCCACCATCTCCGAGCACTTCCACACAAACGCAGGCTACATCTGGGTGGGCGCCGCCTACATTCTTGCCGACGCAGCCTCGACGCCTGTCTGGGGCAAAGTAAGCGATATTTGGGGCCGTAAACCCGTGCTCCTTATTGCTATTGCCGTCTTTTTCATTGGTAGTGCGTTGAGTGCCACGGCCGTTAACATGGTCATGTTGATTGCGGGACGGACGGTGTAGGGTTTGGGTGGGGGAGGGTTGGTCAATCTGTCGAATATCGTGATTGCGGATTTGTTTTCTATGAGATATGCTCTTCTGTGGATGTCCATGGTGGATTGAGGCAATGGACGCTGATGATTTGGAGGGGTCGGTCGAAATATGGTGGCTTTCTGGGCATGACTTAGGCGGTTGCCTGCTCCATTAGGCCTTTACTTGGAGGGACACTCTCAGAGAAAGCAAGCTGGCGGTGGTGCTTCTACATCAACCGCGAGTGATATTATCTATGCTATTAACTAGCTGCTGACTTCTTACAGTTCTGTGCAATGCAGTGGTGCTTGTGCTTATGTCATGGACTCTAAAACTCAAGACTCCAAAGACAGCCCTAGTAGCTGGGCTGAAAGCTATAGACTGGCTTAACTATCTCACGATTGTCGGTAGAACTGTCATGATCCTCGTCGGAATGATCCTCGGCGGCTTGTCATATCCATGGAAGTCCGCAACGGTCATCTGCCTCCTCGTTTTTGGAGTTCTTTACTTTAATCCTCTTCATTCTCGTTGAGTGGAAAATTCCGCGAGTCCCTTTCATCCCTCTGAGCATCATTAACACGTGGCAACGTTCGCCCACGCTTGTTGCTGCTTTGCTCCACGGCTTCGTGCTTTATATCACTTTCTACTTCCTTCCACTATACTTCCAGTCTGTACTCGGAGCTGGCGCCTTGTTTTAAGGGGTCTTGCTACTGCCGATGACCATTTCTGTATGCGTCGTAGATGCTTTCACAGGCTGGGTTATCTCCGCGATGGGGGTGTATACATGGTTTATACGCGGAGGATACCTCGTCATGACCCTTGGGAGCGGTCTACTTATTGATCTACCACACTCGCGACAATGGGCCCGGGTGCTTATATTTCAGATCATTCTTGGTGCCGGTATCGGACCAAACTTTCAGGCACTGACCATCGCTTTCCAAAGCGCTGTCAAGAGCAGCGACGTCGGTACAGCTACCTCTACGTTCAGCTTCGTCAGAAACCTTGCTACTAGCATAGGACTTGTTCTTGGCGGAGTGGTCTTCCAGAACGTCATCCGTGGGCAATATAACAAGCTCAGTGGACCATTGGGCCCTGAAACTTGCCGGCACATTAGCCAATGTAGGAGCGGCGTCTAGTGTTTTCACAGTCAACAAATTACCCGCAGATCAGATGACTGCAGCACGGGACGCGTATTATATTGCAATTCGCGATTTGTAGATCTTACAAACAGCCTTCTCTGCTGTGGGACTCGTGACGATATACTTCATCGGGGGTCGGGTATTGAGTAAAGATCATACGGTTGTGGAGACAGGGTTGGAAGTCGAAGTACGACGAGCAGCGGAAATAGAGAAGGAGCGCATGGGTGGCAGAGCTGGTAAACAAGATGCAGTTGTATAGATCTGTGGGCCAAGAATTGCCCAGCATGCCTTTGCGGGCGTAGACTAGAGCTGTGGGCATTTAGTTTGTAGAGCATTAATAACATCCTCTATTCATAGGGAAGAAACCGAAAATAGCGCTCGTGCTGTGACATCAATTGACGATTTCGTAAGACAATACCTGCAAAATCGAGGATCACAAGGACTTCCCTCTTAAGGGCAGACCAACACCATTGATAATGACAGCCATAGGACAGCAGAAAGAATTATACATTCTGTCAATTGTATCCCACTGTCCCAAGTGCCAAGTCATGGCTAGGAAACATCGTTAGCCACATAATCGCCCAGTTTCTAATACACTCTGAAGGAGAAGATACATGTCGAGCAACAAGGTATCACGGATCGCTGCCTGTTCTACAATTTGTCATTGCGATGGGCAATGATCATGTCTGTGGGTGTTCATATAGTACGCGTCTGAGTATATATAAAAAAGAATATGCGAATGCGAAACGCGCATGACCATACCTAGCATCCATCATCCTCCTCGTTCACATATCTGAACATCACACCCATTTTGAATTGACCAGGCAGGAGGCCTATAACGCCGCTCACCACACCGAGAGTTTTGGAGCATCCCGTCGGCAGCAAAATTCTGCATATCACAAGCGCTATCACTGGCGATACTTACCAGAGCGTCTACGGGTCTTTGGCAAGGACGTCCAACGGGTGTTAGCCAAATCTTTTGGCTCTGTGCATAGATATATGCCTTTGCAAGCCCGCCAGCCTGGCAGTGAGATACCTTGGTCGTATGTTCAGGTATACGAATGTACTCAAGGTGCTCATCAAACCTGAGATATGTGAGTCGTCTATTTCACTTCTGCAACATAATGGCTACGGTAACGAAACTAACGAATAGCGAAGATCTTCCCAATATCTTTCTCAGAAGGAAGCACGTCATCAACATACCTACTCCATGTCTAATCTGCTCAACTCTTTTCATCTGCAACCTCCTCCGCCCCACTCCTATCCAACACAATTCCCCCACTTCCTAAATGTTCCACCATCCACCTCCCCGGCCCATCCCAAAACTTAAATTCCGTGCAATAATTTCTCTCCCCAACAATCAAGAACAACCACAGTCCCTCAACAACATTGCTCAACTCCCGCCACGTGAAAAGTCTTTGCGAACCCTTGACACTCCGCACGACGAGATAAAAGCCGTCGCCCAGCGTATATGCCAATCTCTGTCGATGGTCAATGTCGAGAACGGGAAAGGCATCCTCACCTTCAATCTCGATGGTTTCGGCAATGTCATGCTGTATTACGGCGATAAGACCACCCATGCTCATGAGGTCAAGGCGGTGGCGGGGGTAACCGAAGCCTAGACGGAGGTAGATCTGGGTGTTGGGGACGGAGAAGCTGTAGGGAAGAAGTATGCGAGAGCTCAGAGTGTTTGAGAGGTTGGAAGTCAATGAAGCTTCGTAGACTCGTGAGTTGTTAAGTAATGTTAGATCTGAAATGTTGCTTGGATGCTTTGCAGCTGCCAAGGAGTTGGCCGCAGCGCTGCTTAGCAGAGAGATGAAAATTGCAGTTGACAAGATAGTGGAGAGCATGATGGTTGGCTTGAATAGTAAAGAATTTGACATCGACAGCGTTGGTGGATGGAATCTACCGCCAAGGGAAACGCAACAGGTCTATAGGCGCGAAGGCTCTACAGGGTGCTACTGGCTGAGGATTGGCGACATGCGAAATGAGAACCAATCGCTATAAATGATTTACCGGCGCCGACAACTATCGTTACCACGGCAGTCACATGTGTCTCCAAGCTGATTCTCACGTTTGAAATATTTGCAATTGTCGAATCACACTGCTGCTGCCATTCAAGAAAAACGATGAAGAGTAGCTCCGAAAATCAAAGACAAATTCTGCGTCGGTCAGTCTACCATGCCCAAAAGAAGAGAGAAAGGATAAAAAGGGGAGAGCAACGTGCAGCTTCCAACGACACCAGTAACGATCCTACCGGCATTGCATCGAATGAGAATGCAGAGGTATTCGAGGCGTTGACTCAAATCATGGTGGAAGTCATAGCTCTTACTTGCCGCGTAGGAGTAAGTCTATCGAAATATCAAAGAGTTCAACTAATCCGTCTTGTTCTGTTCAGGTCTGGGTGTCCTTGTTGACATGGCGTCTGAAGTAGTACAGCGTACACAGGACCGACTCGTTGCAGCTATTGATGATTTGAGAAATGCTGTCGGGCAAGAAGCAGCAAAAGTTTTTTTCTGATCTCTCTTATCAATATTGAACCTGTGGAGTTTAAGCGAGAGGCCGCAATCTGCGACGACTCCTGGATGAAGTTCATTAATAAAGATTTTATGATTAATGCTAGTGACCCTTCGCAATCCACGCCGTTACCGCTCTCCGGCAAAATGAAGATGCATCCTTGTGGAGAACGGTTTCATAGACAGTAGCTGACATGCATTGCTAAGTATCCTCTCAGCACCCGATTGCCTATCCTCCGTCGCCATCGTCCAACTCTCTCGCACTCTTTCTAAGATCAGAAGGCAGCATAGTCCAGAACACTCGCTTCTCATTCATCTATTGAGGTCCGTTCACCCCATCCACAACCACCCTCCATTGCTTCTATAATCGCCTCGATTCAGTGCAACGCAGACACATGACTTCCTTAGTATCTGGTCCTCCCGTTCCTTCCAAGCTCGATGACGAGGCTGACGATACCGACCTCCCTTCCGGACACATATGGGGCTACCCATGCAAGCTTCCTTCGTGTCCTAACTACGGCAAATCCTAGAAACTGCGAAGCAACTTTCTCGTTCATTTGCAGGAGCGGGAGGCACATGGGACCGTAGCCACGACACCTGCCGCACGCCGTGCGATCGAGATAGAGTGGCGGTATACCACCGATCCTTATCTGCCACCTCAGGCGGCACCAGATTTTCGTCCGTGGGAGGATCCTAACAAGCAAGTCTGGAACTACAGTTTTAAAGATAACACCGGTAAGGTGATAACCGGCAGGGGCACACTGAAGCAAATGGAAATGCATAAGGCCTCACGATGCCGGCAAGCGGAAGGAACGCAGGTCGCGTAGCTGCGTTCCTATTTGATGCCGCGCGACGAGCGGGTGCTCTATGCAGCAAAGCGACCTATACAATGCGGGAAAAAGAATATACATCAAGACGGTTTGACCGACATGGCCATTCGCCGTCAAAAGAGCGATGTGAATACGGTACATCTCGTCAAGAACCTCCACCACGTCGATCTCGGCTGCCGTGTCTCTAATCTGTTTGAAAGATCTTTCGGTGACGTTAAGAATGATGATTATGGCTATAATAATACTTGGCATGACGATTATAACATTAACAGTGATATTGATTTTTGGAGTAGAGCGGGGGACTAAAATCTAGCCCTTAGTACACACGCATACGAACCTTCACTTTTCTGCAAACTCTCACGAAAGATCTTACGGAGTAAATGTCTTAGAACAACGTTGCCGTCTTCTTGATCGAACGTATTACGAAATATCTTACCCGTGCTCTTGGTGTAGGCTCGCAGCTCTGCCACATTGCGAAAGGTCTGGACTCTTTATTCGGTGTTTTTACGTCCTCGTCCCCACTCAATCAAATCAACAATGTTAACATGTGTCCTTCGTACAACCTATGATCCGGATTAGCATGAATGTTTAGAGTTTCGTGGAACGCGCTTATACTTCCTCGCATTGCTCACACGTTTGCGGAAGCGGCTTGACACCAATGGCACGACAAAGGGCATGCCACGTAGCCAAATCGTTCTCTGCACCATACCACATGCGCAATTCGCTTTCTAATGCATCTTGATATCTGTTCCATGCATCGTCTGACGCAGCATCGCCACGCCGCCACCTTTCATGTTCTCGCAAGTTGGCATACGACGCAGCTGGTGAGAGAGAAGGGTCTTAATCAAAGATTGGGAAAGAGCGGAAAAAGAGATCTAAAGGGGTATCCGGATCCTGCTGATGAATGCGAGAGTTCTGCAGGTGCTGCTCCAGAGCCTCATCGCTGCCGAAGGATTGATTACAACTCTCACAGTTGAAGGACGGAGCATGCGCGGGCGAGTCTCGTAGGTGCTGGTCAAGAGCCTCTTCGCTGCCGAAATGACGGTCGCATGTTGTACAGTCGAAGGCATGCGCAGGTGCGTCTCGTTTGTGCTGCTGCAGAGCCTTGTCGCTGTCGAAAGTTCGATCGCAGAGAACACAACGGCAGCTCATAATGTCAGGAGTTTCATACCAGTGTAAATTTTCAGAATAAGCAGGGAGTAATGATAATGGGAGACCATGATCGGCTGGAAGTGGTGAGTCGACAGTTCAATTGGAATGAATGGTAGGCGGGGCAGCTATGTCGTGTAACAGCTACTCTACACTGTTGTCCAATGACCCAAAGCCAGCTGATAATGCAGGCTTCGGTCCCATGATGATAAGCTCCCAAGAATCCCTTGCGCCAGGTGTCTACAACATCCACATAGCATCAAAGTAAAAAAAAGCTGCCAATAGTGCTGCTGATAGTTTTCGACGAGATATCAGATATCATCCGGATACAATGTCTGCAATCGTTGAAAAAATAGGTGGTGACTCGCCTGAAGCCATGTAATAATAAGTGGAGTTAGTTATTTCATGGGTCCGGGAAATCCTGATCGGCTCGCTTATTAGAGGCTAAGCCTGATTGGAAAGCTTGCTTTCTCACTGCTCAAGACTTGAAATCCCAAATGGCTTCTACGCTAAGAGACTAGTGACCAAGTAGATCATCGTTTTTTTTTTTTTTTTTTTTTTCCTCTTTTTCCCCTTTCCCCTTATTCTTAGGGCTTCTTTTTTTTTTTCCTAGGGCTCCCCAACTTCATTTTTGTGGCCCGCAGCGAAAAAAAAAAAATAAATTTATTTTAAAAAAAAAATACTTTTTTTTTTTTTTTATTTTTTTTTTTTTTTTTTTTTTTTTTAATAATAACACCCCCCCCCTCCCCCCCCCCTTCTTTCCTTTTTTATATTAAAAGGTTCAAACCCCATACCTACCCCTACCCCTCTACCTACCTTTATTTTAATTTTTTTTTGTTTTTTTTTTTTTTTTTTTTTTCTTTCTACTTTTTTAAATTTTTTTTTTTATATGAGGAGGTGGGGATATTTATTTATTTTTTTTTTTTTAAAAAAAAAATAAAATTATTATTTTATATTTTTTTTTTTTTATTTATTAAAATTTTATTTTTATTTTTTTTTTTTTATAAAAATTTTATTAATTTTTTTAATTTTTTTTTTTTAAAAAAAATTAAAAATATTAAAAAATATAAATTTTTAAAAATTTTAAATTTTTTTTAAATTTTTAATTATTTTTTTTTTTTTAATTTTTTTAAAAATTTTTTTTAAAAAAAAAAAAAAATTTTTTTTTTTTTTTTTTTTTTTTTTTTTTTTTTTTTTTTATATTTTTTTTTTTTTTTTTTATTTTTTTTTTTTTTTTTTTTTTTAAATTTTTTTTTTTTTTTTTTTTTTTTTTTTTTTTTTTTTTTTTTTTTTTTTTTTTTTTTTTTTTTTTTTTTTTTTTTTTTTTTTTTTTTTTTTTTTTTTTTTTTTTTTTTTTTTTTTTTTTTTTTTTTTTTTTTTTTTTTTTTTTTTTTTTATAATTTTTATTTAAAAAAAATTTTAAAAAATTTTTAAAAAAATTTTTTAATATTTATTAATTTTTTTTTTTTTTTTTAAATAAAAAAAAAAAAATTTATATAATAAATTTAATAAAAAATTTTTTTTTTTTTTTTTTAAAATTTTTTTTTTTTTTTTTTATTTTAAAAAATTTTATTTAATAAAATAAATTTTTTTTTTATTTTTTTTTTATTTTTTTTTTTATTTTTTTTTTTTTTTATTTAAAAAAAATATTTTTATAAAAAAAAAAATTTTTTTTTTTATATTTTTTTCCTTTTTTTTTCTTAAAAAATATTTTTTAATATTTTTTTTTTTTTTTTAAATTTTTTTTTTTTTTTTTTCTTTTTTTTTTTTTATTTAATATTTTTATTTTTTTTTTTAATTTTTTTTTTTTTTTAACTTAAAAAAATTTTTTTAATTTAAAAAATTTTATTTAATATATTTTAAAATACTCTAAATACTATTTTATATATATATGGCATTAATATATATTATCAATAATATACGTATTATTGTGCGCTATATCAAAGCATTATCTACGCGACTAATTTTATTAAATCATCTAATTTCGTAGTCAAATTTGAGTTAACGTTGATACTCGTTATCGTAGAACCTTACCGTCGCAACGTCGATTATTAGAACTTTTCTTTTTTTATATATATTACTACTAAACTAGTAGAACTAGCGGAAAAGATTAGAATAGTTACTGAATTGGCGAAATTTAGACGAATTCTAATTAGATTTACTAAACCGACGAATAGCGTATGAAAAGCAGACTATAGTTGCTGATTAGGCGGAATTTGGGCGAATTTAAATCAGATTTACTAATCTAGCGGATTTTGTAATTTCCGCGATAAACGCGCGATCAGCAATTTCAAATTTTGTAGAAACTTTTCAGATTTGCAGATGTAAGATTTATAATTCATACTTCGCCTTAATATACTTATCTACGCTTACTCTTATTCTTTTTTCATTTATCTATCTTAATAAGATTATTATTAATAGTTTTAAATAAGATATTAGTAGCGAGAGCTAAGCTAATTACTTTATTAAGCTTTTCTAATATTATAGAATTATAATTTTTAGTCTTTATTTATTAAAGTAACTAGTTAATTTACTTTATATTTATTAATATATAGAGTATAAAAACTAAGTTATTATTAAATATAATATCTATAAATATATTTAACGATAAACTTAACGATAATTCTAGTACTTTAAATTTAAATCTATTAAGAATAAGTTAAGATTAAATTAAAAATAGATTACTCTTTTATTATATATATTTAATATTCTATATTATTAATTCGTTATAGCGTTCTTTCTTATTATTTAAATTATTTAAATAAAGTTCGCTTTATTTATTAAATAGTTATCTTTATACTTTATATTTTTCTCTAGATATTTATAATATATAGTCGCTAAAGATAAGAAAAATTCGATATTAAGTAATTAAAGTATATATATAATATAAGTAGATAGATATAAGAGAATAATATCGTTACTAGTATAAAACTCTATAACTTTAATACTAATATATAATATATATTCGTCGTATATGAGAAGGCGATATTATTCTTTAATTATCTATCGAGTTTATAATTTAAAGCTTCTATAAAAAGTAAGTTAAACGCTTTCTTAAAAAGTACTTTTCTTATTAAATTTATATAAAAAAATAGCTTACTTAATAAATTAATTTAAATCTAATATATTATTTATCTAATTAATTTTACTTATTTTAATTTATATAGTTATATTCTCTATAATATTATATTAAGTCTTTATATAACGCTTATCTTTAAAGATAATAATCGATATAAGAAGTCTTTAACTCTTTTATTAGCGGATATATATTCGATAAGAGTTATTTATTCTCTACTCTTATTCTAAGTTTTATATATCTATATATTATACTTAAAGATAATAACTTTTATTCTATTAATAGAATTAAGAGTAATTTCCTTCTCATTTATATTATATATATCTTTCTTCTAAATATTATACTTCTAGATTATTAACTTTATAAGTCGAAATTATCGTAATAGTTTTATTAAATAATAAAGTATTAGAATTAGTATAGATGCGATACTAGTATAGATAAGATAGAATTAGAATAATAAGACTATCGAACTATATAGATAAGAAGAAGATATAATATAATAGAGAATATCTTCGTTAAGGCTCGCTAGTTATAGGACTAAGTAATATATTAAGAATACGCTTATAATACTATCTCTCTCTCTTAAATAGCTATAATCTCTATAACTAATAGATCGAAGATATAGATTTATTACTTATCTTATATCTTTAAATATTTATAATCGATATAGATCTTAACTAGAGATAATTAAGATCTCGAAGATATAATTATATCTTATCTGCGTATCGATAAGATTCTTTAAGTTCTTCTCCCGTCCAATTTATCTATCGTA